AAGACTCATGAGAGTGAGATGAACACAAAATGGTCCAGGGACCAGGCTTATAATAATAGGAAAACAAGCGAGTTTGCCAGGAGCTGAGGGAATGAGCTAGAAAGAGGTCTGAGATTAGTTTGGGTCATAGAGGCAATCCACAGGCTTATAACTATAATGGATAACAATGAAAATCTTTTTATTAAAGTTAGCATAGAATCTAGAGCACTTTATCAGTATTCTGGGGAAGGGGTTTTTAGGTGTGAGACTTGGACATGGTATCACCCATGAGCCTAAGTTTTGTTACTGCATCATTCACATACTCTGCATGGAGAAAAAACTATTGTTTGCTTAGGAGCACAGAAGACCCTTGTGCTGACCTAAGCGGGGCAGGCTGGATTTCACTGATGTGATCAGCGGAGGAGAGCATGCTTACATCGGTGTGAAAACCTCACCACTGAAGCAACTAGGTACTGACATGATCCAATTTTACCTTTTAAGATCACTCTTTGGAAAAAAATAAGCAGTGGCAAGAATTATCAAACATAAGGTGCTATAAAATTTAGAATAAAAAAGACACATAGATTTGTTTTAAATTAGAATGGTAATGATAAGGACTAAGATAAACAGGACAAATTATCATCATTTGGGGGAGGATTTAACGCTAAAATGAAGGCTAAACAGGAGACTTACAATTTTATTCTGTAAATAAAGAAAAAATATTATCTGATAATCAGGAACATGGGATAAGAGAAAGACTATTAAACAGTCAATCCTGTTATATTGTGGAAAATATCTGATTTTTAAAGGATTTCTTGCATGCTAAACAGGCTTGTAGCTATTTATACGTACTAGTCTTCCCAATAATCCTATGAGATCAGCGATAATTTCAATGAATCTCACATGTAGTACACAAAAAATATTGTACATTTTCTCACTTTTAAAAATATTTATTCATATTAAAATATTACAAGTTAAGTAAAACTGGTATTATCAATTTGTGGGTAATGAAACTAAATTTCAGAAAACGTAGGTGATGTGGCACATGCCTCTCTTACTGACAAAAAAGCTGCAGATTCACCTCCAGGACAGGCCTCCCAAATGTAGTATACATTTAAAGCCTTTTTTCTTTTGCAGAAGAAACTATTAATTGTGAATAGCCACTTTGGTAGGAATTAACATCACACTATTTTCCAGAGTCAAGCAATCTCGAGAGAAGCAAATTCATTTATAAATTAAAGAATGATAGTGAAGAGCAGGCAAAGGCAAGCAATATCCTAACCATCCTTGGGTTTGGTTCAATTTGTTTGTAACTCCTTACAGCAAATAAAGAAAACTTTAAATTGGAAAATAGTCTTTCCCTTTTCCAGAGAAATGAAATTGAAGTTTTCCTGAGCAAAACAACAATGTGGGATTCCCTTAAGTGATGAAACTAGATATGGCAATTATAGCATTATTAAGATCAAGAAGTTTACTTTCCACACTGGGTGATATAATTTATCAAAGAGTTCAAGGTCTTCAAGATGATCTTATTTGACAATTATTTTTTGAGGTGTCACACTTGTACAATCTGTGTCATTGTTCACCTTCTCTAGCATTCTTCAGCACCAGGTTTGAATTCTGTGCCTGGCCTAAGCGTGCTGAAAGACTAAATGTACTGTTATTACAAAAGTATTTTAAGAAGAACCTAAAGGCTAGAGAAAAGTTAAAATAGCAAGCTATATAAATATTGTCTACAGATCTGTAACAAAGGAGTAAAGCCAAGGCAATGGAGAAAAGATTCTCTCTCTCTCTCTCTCTCTCTCTCTCTCTCTCTCTCTCTCTCTCTGTAAAAACTTAAAAAATAGATATTTAAAGGTAGATCACATGGAGGCCTCTTGGAAGCAGTATCATTCACTGGGAGGGGACAACTACACAAAGACTTTATGGAGCCACAGTGTGAGAAGCTGCTTCCCATGGCTCAGTGGCCCAGCATGATGACTGACATCATGTTCCCGAACATGGGCTTGCAGGAGATGCATGGTGGCAGCCACACGGAGCTGCGCAGGACAAGGGGCTAGAAGTAGGCCAGCTCGTCATGCCTGGACTTGGTCTGGTAGGCGGCCAGCACCAGGGGCTTGTTCTCATGTGGGAGGCTCTTGAACACTCGCAAGTGCAAGAAGTTCTCGCCCCCAGTGTCCACCTTGATGAAGTAGTTGGTCCCAGCCACCAGCTGGCATTTGAAAGACATGGCCTTGAAAACTGAGTACTTCTGGTTTTCCTTCTCTTCAAGCTGGGCCCTCACCACTTCTGGAAGCTCTTGCGTCTCAGCCATGGCTGGCTGCGTGGTGGAAGATGCCCCTCTCTTACTCTCATATTTAGTACATTGTCTACCGGGTCTCAGTGTGTAGATGAGACTCCTAGTAATTCTTCTGTTTTCAGCCTCACAAATGTTGGGATTACAGGTGAGCGCCACCATGCCCAGTCTCAATTGCCATGTCAGTGCTCCATTTTAGTGTGCCCATGGTGCAGGGCTGGCACAGTATGCCAGGGACTGAGCTAGGCCACTGCGTTCTGCCTAACCAGGTGCTTTATACTGCTGAGTTATCTGGCAGGCACCTGAGCTATCTGGCTGACCCTCTCTTTTGAATAATTGGTAACAGAACAGTGGGACAACTACACATAAAAATAAGTAAATAAATATCAATAAAATAATCTAGGCAGAGTTTCTAATCCCATCACAAAAATTAAATAAAATTAAATTGTAAGCGTCAAGGTAAAATATAGAAGTATAAAACTTCTAGAAAACATGATAGGAGAAAATCTAAATGATCCTGGGCTCAGCAATGGCTTTGTAGATAAAACATCTGAGACATAATCTATGAAGTAAGTAGGTTAGGAGGTGAGCTTCATAAAAATTAGCAACTTCTGCTGTGGGAAAGACACTATCAATGGATTGGGAAGTAGAACAACAGAATAGAAAAAAGTATATCTGTCAAAGCATTATTGTTTAAGATATACAAAATATTAATAAAGTTAAGCTCAAAAATAGTTATAAAAGCAAATTTAACAGTGACCAAACTATCTGAACAGAAACCTCATTAAAGAAGATACACTGATGGCAAAAAAAATATGTAGCAAAATATATTCAACATATGACATGTAGTTTAAATGCATAGCGAAGGTTTAAATTTAATGTGTGGAAGACACATTATGGTTAATCCTCCTTAAAGTACTATTTTACCTTTCATGCCAGGCACTGTGCTGTAATGCCAGCAACTGGGAAGCTGAAGTAAGAGGGTCTCTGTGGGTTCAAGGACACCCTGGACTACATAGTTCAAAGCATGTCTAAATTACATAGGACTCTGTCCCAAGGGAATAAAGAGATAGAAAGAGAGAGAGAGAGAGAGAGAGAGAGAGAGAGAGAGAGAGAGAGACTGCACTCGCTCTCATTTCAAATACACACATCTAGTCTTTCTTGCCCCTTCCTGAAGCAATTCTCAGTCTACTTTCAATATCTTTATGATTTCTAATTTAATTTTTTAAGGTCACTGAGATGAATGCTGCTGCTGAATGCTGCCTAAAAGAAAGACAAGCTCACAAAACCTTAATAGCTTAACCTCATCTCTCATATTGTCTAGATCGGACACTATGAAACATCTACCTTTTCCCCAAAGTCCACATGGACCTGAAAGTTAGTAGTTTTGAACTGATTCTGACAGCATAACTAAGAAAACTCAGGAAAAAGAACACTTAGAACTGCTTAAGAAAGGGGCAAGGACGATGAGATATGTGTGTTCAAAGCAGGGAGAGTGGAGGTGGATTATTAGTGACATTATTCTTATAATTGAAAAAGAAATACATTTATCATATTTACAATCTCACCTACCATGCCACCAAGAAAAAAGAAATTAAAACAATGAAATACCGCTACTCAGCCATTAGGGTGGGTAAAAATCCAGAATCCTTAACACTGCCAAATCCTCATGAGTCTATGGAGCAACCGCTACTTTCCTTCCCTGATTCAATAGAGATGAAATGCTACATTAACTTTGAACGATGTTTTGCAGTTTCTGGAAAAACCGAACAGTCTCCATACAACTCAGCAAGCATGGGTTACTTGTTATCTACCCAAAAGAGCTGAAAAATGAATGTCCACAAAAACCTACGCATAGATATTTATACCAGTTTTATTCATAATTCTCAAAATTTGAAAGTAATGAACAGTCCTTCAATAAGGAAAGAGACAATTAAACTACCTGACTGTGGAGAGGGCTGTGGCTAGGAAGGGAGTTTAGGACCTTTTTGCCTAATTTTTCTGTGAATCAAAAACTGCTCTAAAAATAAAGCCTGCTAATGAAGGGCAAATGCGCTGTACCAAGTTTTAAAAAAATGTATGATTCAAAAATTTACAGAATGATTCATAACTTGTAAGCATAAAACAATTTCATCAGTCCTCTACAATCGTTTGTAGAAACAGCATACAGGAGCTACACTGTCTCCAGTGCCCACATAGCGCTTGTTTGAATCCTGTTTGGAGAAAAGATAACTAATCCAAAAAAGAATATAGAGAAATAGATATAGATATATATATTCATATATATCTTCACATGTTTGGCATACAATATATGTTAATTTAATGTATGCTAACTCTCAGAATTTATTCAGTATAATCCTTGATTTTGAAAATATTTTCATCAATGGTCTACATATGTCTAGCTGCTATGCATTTATGCATATACTTATGTATTTTAATTATAAATAAGCTTAGCCATTATTTAAAATAAAGCCTAGGACATTGAGAAGAAATTACATCTGACTAAATGGTTTCTTGCTTTCTTATGCCATTTCTTCCCTATAGTAATTATCTTAAATTTTCAGCTATTCTGTGAAAAAGTGTGTTTTTATTTATTGTATTTGATAAAGAGCATCTGGTAAATTCAGCCTTTGGTGATTTACCTTTTCACTTAATATCATAGTGCTGAGATTGCACCAGTCTTGCATTCAGGCTGTTTGGGTGACATATCACTGTCTGAATATCATCACGACAGGTTCCTTGTATTTGTGGTGCTTTGATGAATGAGCCTTTGAGTCTTGTCCAACCTATTGCTATAGGGAATACTGTGGTCTGGCATTGCTGATATCTTTAGTTTTGTTGGTGCTAGAGACTCGCTTGTATATGCCCAGAACCTGCATGTCACAGAATAGGCAATATTCAACCTCAGAAAATAATTAAAGTGCTTCAGCAGTAAGTCAACTAAATGTCTGTCTAACTGTGAATTTCATTAACTCTACATCTTGATTTTGTGGGATCCAAATTTTATCAATGTGATACAAAAAGATAGGTTGTAACAGTAATTTTATTGTTCATGAAGAGATTAAAGTTAGATTAAAAATTCTGTTTGGACTGTTTATTCATTTTTTAATTTTTTAGTTTTATTTTTTTATTTGGAAAAAGAGTACAAATTAGAAGAGTAACAGAAAAATAATAC